CATGTAGCCCTTAAGGATGAAAAGTTGTCGCTAAAAAACGTTGCCAATAAAAGCAATACCCATGGGGGAGTATTGGCTCCATTCACCACGCCATCACATCGCCTCAAGAGGATGCATTACTGGTGCGTACAGTAGGTTTCTCTATTCTCACTTTTACAATGTCAAGTGACCATTCCCGGTTCTTTCCAGGTGAAAGCTGTCAGCTGCACGACTTTTTTTGCCAGCGCTATCTACCGCTGTCCCATCATGAATTCTCATGAGTGTTCGTGTACGAACGGCGCTGACGTGCTATTGATTTCGGCTCACAATTTTTTTCCTCTCGTCGTCCTGTGGTCACATTTAACCACCTCCACACTCATCACTAAAGGAACAATTCCTTCATTTTCACTCAGCGTCTAGCGGGAAACCGCAGGGAGTCGTTTTTCGTCGTTTGTGGGAGAGGATCCTATTTATGGGTCTTGAGGGCGAGGGATGAGACGGAAATCGTCTGTTTTCAGTACTCTTTCAATGCGTTTCTTTTTCGGCATTTCTATTAGTTTCAAGACCTTATTGATTAAAGTGCTTTCCTTTTCGCGCGCTGCTATACTTTCCTTGATTCGTGGGACGGTTTAACTATAACTTTGTGATAGTCCGAGGAGCGGGGTTCTACTTCCTCCTGCCGCTCGATGAGAGTTGACAGACTTTGCGAAATTTTTCTAGGGAGTTTGACATGCATGGTAGGGCAGGTCGCGGAATGTCGTTGCTAAGGGGAACCGGGGGAAAGGGGAAAAGAGGTAGGGGGTTTCACCGATGCCAGTACTTTATCTGTTTTCATCTCAACGGCTCTACAGAATTCTATTCTAAATAAAGGACTTGCTGCAGCAAAATGCCTGCTAATGCCTCATATTCCTTACCCAAACTCGATTCTCGGCTTCCCATTCAAGTTTCAAAGCTCATTTATGAAATAATCCACTTTACTTATGACTTCTGCCTTATCAGTGACATTCTATTTTTATTCAACTCAATCTGAACGCGATAATTTTCAGGATATGACGCAAGTACTTGGCATAGATTTTGCACCGCTAAACGTGCCTTTGGAAAGACGACTCCAGACTTTGGGTGCAATACATTTCTTCATTATCTCATTAATACTTCCTGTATTGACAATGATTTTATCCGTATACATGGTACGTTTCTTATGGCATATGGAATACCTAACTTAACCCAGGCGCAGTTTGACGACGCGGGGGGGGGGCGCATTTTTTTCACTATTATTGCTTCCCTAATCCCGGTTTACAAGTCTCACTCTGCAAATACCTTACTCTTTGCGAAGGTGCGAGCAAGCTACTCTAGTCATCATTTAGTAAAGCTGCAACTAGGAGACTGCCTAGGATGGTCGGAGCAGGCGTCGGTGGAAGTAGCGATGTCCCACAATACCCCCCCTTCGTTCAAACTGTCACCCTTTGAGCACAATTTGGATTGCTATCCCATTAGGATATTGGGGCGTTTCGTCTTCAGAGGGAGAAAAAGTTTTTTTTCTACTTACATGCCGCCTCTAGTACGGCGCAGCGGACCTATTTCGCCTTTAACGGTTGAATCCACTAGGCCTCGTTGTGGAGACGGACAATTAAGTCTCCGTAAACGTCAGGCCATTTTATAAATGTTCCACCAAAGCAGGAGGTGGTGTAGTGACAAGTGGCGCGCTCACCACTCGCGCGGTCCTGGGTTCAAATCCCGGGTCGACTTCCCGCCTAGGCCAACCAAGCCTTCTACCCTCCGGGGACGGTAAATTGGTACCAGATTCGTCTGGGAGGATAATGACACTGACTTTACATCGGCTGGCCCCGCAGTCATTGTATAGGCCACATCGCATTCAATAAGCCACTACGATTCTGAATGGAAGTAGAATGCGTGCGCATCCCACAAAGGGATTGAGCGTCATCAACGGCGAAGACTATCCTTTTTATATTTAATCACCAACAACTCTGTGCCTCTGTATTTCCCGTCTTCACAATCGCGTCTCACCCTGCAAGTTATGCATACTTCTGTCAAGTATCCTGTATACTCCTGGCAAGCTTGGCGAAACGGTTCTGGCAAGATTAAAAAGGCCATTTTCCCCAGTTTTTTTGTTTATCTTGACGTCATTTTGACAAGTTTGACAGGAGTTTACAGGATTAGCCAGGTGATAAGAAGGCTTATAAGCTGTTGACAAGACAATTTTGTCCATCACTTTTACGTATACGGTTCGCTGGATTTGCTATGCTGACAAGGGCCACAGCTCCCCCCCCCCCGTCGCTCGACAGCAACTTTTGGGTAAAAGTAGGGAAGTTTTCGGGAAATTTTGTGGAAGTGGTGCAGGAAGCTCAAGTGGAAATCTGCATTTCCTCCGGCTTTTCCTGTTTCGCCCAACATAGGCCTTACCCATCCCCCCCACCTCGATTCGATGAGGAGCGACAGAGGGCCGGAGGGGGGGGGGGTCATAGCGACCTCCCAAAAAAAGGGGGGATAGTAGAGACTCGACCAACATCCCCAACTAATGGTGTGCCCTGCCCCACCCCTCAAATACATTAACATCTTACGTTCCCAATTACAAGCGGGAAACTCCACCACATTGTCTTAGCATATGCGTCAATCAATTTGCTCATTCTGTGCGAGCACAAACCCGCGGGCGCAAACGAACTCAAATCCGCGGTTACTGCGAAGTTACAACGATGATGCGTGAGAAGTAAAAAAGGTTGTACGTGACTGTGGGCGCAATACAACGTAACTGAGGCCAAATATCCTCACGTGTATGTGTTTAAACAGCTTCTGCCGCAAATCCATTGTCACTGACAGAAGAGAACAGCGTGTCTTTGATGACAGCATCGTCACAAAGGGTAAGCCTGTTGAAGCAGCCGGCAAATTTTACTGTTGTTATATGTAGAACTTTCCAAAGGAGAAGTAAGGTGTGGCGCTCCAAATTGGTCCATCTATTTCTCAGAGGGTCCTCCGCTGATAGTAACAGAAGCTGGGCAAAGATAAAGAAGTGACAAATGACGCAGTTAGCGCACACATACGTAAATGAAATTTTTAAAAACATATCGCTTGGGGAACGGAAGCCTTTACCTCAAGGATCGAGTAATTTGTACAACACTCATGTGAGGAAACAAAAGCTCCAAACTGTAAATCGCTCAGCACGAGATCATCATGAGGATGGGTCAATGTGAGCCCCCTCCTCCCACCTCAAAAATCCATCGAGTAGAGCGTAATAGACAGCAGGCACTCAACAGTAAAATAGTAAAGCTTCCCGCCCATCATCGACTAGGGAGAAGGGTTAGCGTGCCTGGAATGAAAGCTCAAAGAAAACCCGGGGAGCCAAATACAACTACTCCTTAGGGTCCAGACAGAGCCTACGATGTGGACTTCGCAACTATTCTGAGCTGATCCCTACAAATCACCGCGCCGACCACGTACTTCTCCAAAAATACTGTAATTTTGGAAGAAGTCGAAAGCATGGCATATCGCAGAAAAAGTAGGTGAAAAGCTCAACACTCAACAGAAAGGAAAGATGAAGAGACATAAGTGAAAGGAACTCTCGCCGTGAAGGGAACATTGAAAGGATTTGACAAGGGCCTATGGGTAAGAAGATCCGCCCATTAAACAAAATCCACCTTCGAATGCCAGTGCCAATCACATACTGGCACTATTGTTGCTTCATTTATGAAAGGCGAATCAGGTGAGGGGGGGGGGGCTTTATGCATGCACGCCTACATATTCATGTATCTGAGGCAGTATTCAAACTTCGCGATGACGCGCTGTAACGGGCTACAATTGCAACAGCCTCCAATCCTATAGAAGCAAAGGCAGCCGCCGCAGACAGGAATCGAGCGATGCCGACATTGCCTCACGAGGCAAGGCGTGCCTTCCAGTCCCCATACTCTCTAGGATTAGAGCGCTGTTGTAATTATAGCGCGTTGCAGCACATCGTCGCGTGTTACAGCGCGTCGCAGAGCGTCGGCGCGCTTCATCGCAAAGTCTAGACCTTGCTGTGAGCAAAGAAGAGTACTGGAGTAACGCACTGGCACTCAGGACTCTACTCTTTGTTACTCACCGAACTTGTACCATTTGGCACTATTGAAGCTATTCCTACCCAAAAACTCACAAAAAAAAATTCGCCTGAAACGTGCCTAGTAGGTGTAATTCGGATGCGCGCTGATACACGAATATAACATCTGTTTTCGAGGGCTGCGTCATTTGCGCCATTAGCGCATAATTTGGGCGCCCACCCATTTTTTCAACTCAAAGTTGATGAGAAACTTTTGCATAATGGGGGTTCTATGAGGTCCTGTTTACCGAATCCTACATACATTTTCGAGGCCTGGCGCCATTGGCATATTGGCGCACTAATGGCAGCCCAGTGACGCCACGCTGCGAACCAGGTGATATTCGTAAAGGATCTCAATTAAGCCGCCATATCACAGCTTTATCATACAACTTTGTGAAGAAGTGTGGGCACCAAATTGGCGCATAATAAGCGCCAAATGACGCCGAGACAGCTGCTAAGGATAGTTATACTTCGTGATCAGCGCATCGAATTACCGCGCTATAGGCAACGTATTCCGCAGAATAAAAAATCTTTGAGATGTTTCTGGTAGCGAACATGCATTTCGCTTCATTTCTTCCTGCATCTCGCAGCTATTCAAGCCCACTCATTACCCCATTTAAGACGGTACAGGTGCTCTCTCCCTGTGAGAATTAGAGCGCAACTTTCTGCATCACACACCTCTGGACGAGCAGTTGCAAAACAGGAAACAAGGATGGTGGGATACGTAAGGATTGCAACAGGGAGATTGCTAGCGGTTGACTCATATTTTCTGTGACGATTTTTGGACACGCGATTCGGAATTATGATTACCTTATGCTTTTTTTTACATAAATGTTAACTGGGTCATCGACTGCGCAAAAGTTGGGCAGTTGGGTTGAAATGTTCCAGCAGCTCGAGAGAGAAATTTCAAAAATACTCACTTAAAGTTTCAAGGTAAATGATCCGGCTGTTTTTACAGTTGTTCACAATTATAGTGGCGCTATCGCAAGCACTACTTTATTGGATGTACTATGACTGGAACTCTCCGAAACGTGGTGCTTACCGTTCCACTTGGTTTATGCGTCAGCGTGTTCATAACTGGTACGCGAACTATTTCCCAGTAAGTAAGTTGCATAAAACGGAGGATTTGAGCCCTGATCAGGTAAGAAGTTTGAATTCCCCAAAAAAGGGGTGAAAGCAGATATTTCAGAATTATCTGATTGGAAGTCACCCTCACGGAATCATATCTATGTCAGCTTTTATTAACTTTGCCACGAATGGGACAGGAATTCTAGAAAAGTTTCCCGAAATCAAATTTCACCTCTGCACTCTAGTGGGACAATTTTATACTCCATTTCGACGCGAATGGGGCCTATTGCACGAGATTATATTATCGATTGACGCCGTGAAAGTGGTCTCTACGTTCTGGAACGAGCGAAAAGTATCTTGTATAAGCTCGAGAGCTACTTACGTGAAAGTGTGTCCTATGTTCTGAACGGCGAAAAGGTATATTCTAAAGCTCAGACTACGTGATCAGGAAAGAAAGAACCAAAACTTTTTAGGGTCAAGCTTGCGTGCTGGTAATAGGTGGAGCTGAAGAAGCACTTGATGCGCATCCCGGTCATCATATTCTCACAATTAACAAACGTAAAGGATTCATTAAGTTAGCACTGGAAACCGGCGCCCAACTTGTGCCGTGCTACTCCTTCGGAGAAAATGAACTATTTGACCAGGTAATGTACACGTTCGATTGGGAAACGTTCTTGCCTGCTAGCTGGCTTTTTCAAACCACTTTTGGCACTTGAGTGAAAAAACAGTGTACTCACAGTTCTACGAGGATGAAAAAGGAATAACAGAGCCCAGAGGTTCCACAGCTCAAAGAAATAGCTCTCTTCTGGTTTTACTTGTTTGCGCGCGATGGGACGGCGACAGCAGGCGATTGACGTACCAAACAAGAAGCAAATTGGCTACAGCGGATTCTATCTGAAAGACCCCTTGCGTAAAATTCAGATTGCCGTAGTCTAGTGGAGTGGGAGATGTTGCTGTCTAAACCCAGAAAAGAAGAGAAGTTAGTTTGTGAATCAGTTCCTTCTGTGAGAAGGAGAAGGGGCTTCCAGAGCGGGAATATTCCCGAACGGAGAAGTCCCTCAAATACCCCTCCCTTTCAGCCAACCTTCCCTCAAACAATGCGAAAAAGGTTCAATATACTGACTGAATGCAGTAGAAAAAAGTAATAAATTAGCTCACTTACCATCAGTAAACTGCGCACTAATAAAAAGGGCACTGTTCACCCTTAACTGCCTTATTCCCCGAACTTAGCCTGCCGGTCATAGCGAAAGATAATATAACGCGTCGTCAGGTCCTGTTCATACCCAGTGTCAAAGTAAAGAATCGGGTCGATCGTGGCAGAATTTGAGTCCCCGAGCCGGAACGGTCAGAACATTCGCAATTTGTCCCGTCGTCGCGCGCGTCGCATTGTGCGGCCATGCGCGTCGAATTCTCGATGTGCATCAGTATGTAAATTGGAGCATTGAAACTCTTGTGACTTCAATCGGAGTGAAGACGTCCACGACGAGCGATATCAAGTTTTCCTATCCCTTTTTCCTATCATATGCAAACGGCCGGTCAGGACAACTCGTCCATCTAGTGCAGTCTCGCTTTCCACGCCCACCAGCGCGGCATTTTACGATTGTCCTGTCACATACCCCTCCAGCCACACCCACTGAGTATTTCGGGAACATTAAATTTGGAGATTTGAAAAACTCGCGAAAGGACCTATATGAAAAAAAA